TCGCCAATCTTCAAAATAATATGCTTAACTCACCACGAGAATTAAGAGGTGCGTACATGCTATACTGGATTGCAAGGACAGGAAGCTAACTGAATGAATGTTCAGGATACGAAAAGAGCGGGAGGGGGGGTGAAATAAAAATTTGACAACGCTGTTAGATTTTTCGTTGTCATTTTTAACGGTGACGTTGTGTGCATTGCAGTGCATCGGTGGCAGTTCCGAGTCGTTAGGTGAGTTCATTTTACCTCAGACTCACTAGGATATTTGCGCGTATATCGGCCACGTTGATCCACCACTCCCTCACCCTTCACCTTATCTTTGGCACAAAGCATCCTTTACTCTGTCCACCCTTCACTTCGGCTAATACTGCTCATTGGGCACTGGTCTACTTCCTGATTCCTGTCGTCCGCATATGCTGTTCGGATGCGGGTCCTGGCTCTCGACCTCTCGGCGCCTCAAAATTTTTGTTCATTATTGCATTTCAAGGGATGCCGGAGGCAGTTACCGGTGAGTTCAATTCGCCGTCAAGGGTTCAATTTTCAGTCAATACTCAGACTAACCTCCATCTCTAATAGCGTCTACTAGTACTCCCTCAACCTGAAAGAACTTGCGTTCACACTATGTCACGCCTATGCTCTTCCCACTCCCGTCTACTACTACTCCCTCAACCTGAAAGAACTTGCGTTCACACTATGTCACGCCTATACTCCCTCCCGCTCCCGTCTACTACTACTCCCTCCACCTGAAAGAACTTGCGTTCACACTATGTCACGCCTATACTCCCTCCCGCTCCCGTCTACTACTACTCCCTCCACCTGAAAGAACTTGCGTTCACATTATGTCACGCCTATGCGCATGCCACATGTTCTGTCTCAATTCCCGCTCCCGTTCACCTCAATTGGGTGCCGAATATAACGTTGACCTGCATTTCAAGGGGCTCGGAGGCAGTCAATTTGGTACGTTCAATTTGAGGGTCTAAACATTACTCAGGCTAACCTCAACCCTCTCATCCTCCACCCTCATAGCAGATACTGCCTCTCTCTCTCTATCGTTGGTCGGGGGCGCTGTCGTCTACTCCCTCACCCTCTACACCCTCACCCTCTATCGTCTAACCATCTGTAGCGTTGGTCAGGGGCGTTTCTCTATTCCCTCTGTCTGTATCGTTGGTCGGGGGCGTCTCTCTACTCTCTCACTCTCTATCATTGGTCGGGGGCGTCTCTTCCTCACCTCTACCCTTTGCCCCCCTTGTCTCACTCCCTCACCTCTACCCCCCTTGTCTCTAACACAATGTCCGCAAGCTGCCCAGCTTGTGGACAGGACAATCTCACTGTCACAGGCCTCAGTCATCATCTATCAAAGAGCCGAAACCCTGATTGTCGAGCGCTGTACAATTACTCACGCTCCCAGATACACGCCAACACTAGTGAACCGCAACTTGATGACGAGTTGGAATGGCCTGATGATGATGGAGGGTATGACATGGAAGAGTTTGAGTGGGCTCGCAAGGGATCTGGCCATGGTAGTGATGCGGATGAGGGAGCGGACGATGGATGGGAAGATGAAGCAAATAACGAACCTGAGTGGGAGCCTCCGGTTGATCAGCAACATGACCACGATGACATGGATGCCATGGATGATTTGGCCGCTGATGAAGCAACCGGTCAAGAACAACACCATGGTCACCAGGAGATTCAAGAACGTGCCCAAGGGCAGCATGGTTGTGTTATCGTGCCCTATCCAGACTCGCGTGCTGGGCAACCTATTTCTAACAATCATACTGCCAATGTTGCGTATGGTGCGCATCTTTCCAATGCCAACCAGGAGAATACATATCACCCATTTGCTTCTAAGATGGATTGGGAGGTCGCAAGATGGGCAAAACTTCGTGGACTCAGTTCAACTGCGTTGTCTGACTTACTTGCTATTGAGGGGGTAAGTCGGTCACCTTTTATTTTCTGGTTCATGCGCTTATGTTCATTGCAGGTCAGTGAACGCCTGTCGCTCTCTTTCAGGAACGCGAACGAGCTTAATGCCATCGTCGACCATGAGCTTCCAACAGGCCGGCCAAAGTTCAAACGAGAGCAAATCATTGTTGCGGGAGAAGCCTTCGACGTCTATTATCGCGATGTGATTGAATGTGTCAAGTCGTTGTACAGTGATCCCGATTTCGCGAGATACCTTGCGTTTGTGCCTGAGCGTCATTATGCCGACGAGGATGAGACAGTTCGTCTGTTTCACGATATGCATACAGGAAAATGGTGGTGGGATACACAGGTACGTTGCATTGACTACGTCTACCATATGATACTAATGATACTTCAGAAAAAACTCGATCAGCACAGCCCAGGCGGCACCATAATTCCAATCATCATCTCGTCCGACAAAACTCAAGTAACCTTGTTCCGCAACAAATCTGCTTACCCTGTCTATCTCACCATCGGCAACATCCCAAAAGAAATTCGACGCAAGCCATCACGCGGTGCCCATATACTTCTGGCATATTTGCCATGCACACGCCTCGATCATATTTCTAACAAAGCTTCACGCCGCCGAACTTTGGCAAATCTGTACCATGCTTGCATGAGCCGTGTTCTCGCTCCCCTGAAATCTGTTGGACTGGATGGGATTACTATGGCGAGTGGGGATGGTACTCTCCGCCGTTGCCACCTACTGTTTGCGAGCTTTGTCGGCGACTACCCAGAGCAACTCCTTGCTACTGGGATAAAGTTCGGAGAGTGTCCCAAATGCGATATTGAGGCTGATGAAACGGGGAGCAATACGGCACCATATCATTTACGAAGACTGCGCGAAGTGTTAGATGCGCTCGCTACTCTGGATGAAGGCAGTATGTCTTTCGTTCGAGCTTGCTCAGCAGCAGGGATCAAGCCCATAATTCATCCCTTCTGGGAAGACCTCCCGTTCGCAAATGTTTTCCGTGCAATCACACCAGATGTGTTGCACCAGTTATATCAAGGACTAGTCAAACATCTCTTAGGCTGGTTGAAGGCTGCTTGTGGTGCGGCTGAAATTGATGCTCGTTGTCGGCGACTTCCTCCCAACCATCATATACGTCTGTTCACCAAGGGCATCACTGGCCTCTCGCGTATCAGTGGGACCGAACACTCGCAAATCTGCCGCTTTCTTCTGGGTATCGTAATTGGTATCCGTTTGCCCAATAATCTTAATGCAAACCGACTTCTACGAGCTGTCCATGGTCTCCTCGATTTTCTCTACCTCGCACAATATCCGTGTCATAGTTCGGAGACCCTACAACTACTCGACGACGCACTCAGTCTTTTTCACGAGAACAAAGACATTTTCGTTGATCTCGGTATCCGAGACAACTTCAATCTACCGAAGCTGCATGCCACTCGGCACTACTCGTACATGATTATGATGTTGGGCACAACAGATAATTATAATACAGAGTATACAGAAAGACTACACATCGACTATGCAAAAGACGCTTACCGCGCTACCAATCACAAGGACGAGTTCGCGCAGATGACACGGTGGCTCGAACGCAAAGAGAAAATACTGCGCCATGACAAGTATGTCATCTGGCGACTTGCTGGTGATGTCGAGTCTGAGCCCCACCATTCACGTCCTCCAGATATGACCTTCCGCCGCCTTCAGACTATGCCCAAACACCCTACTGCAAAAGCTGTCACTATAGACAGATTAGTTGATGACTACGGCGCTACCTTTTTCCGCGAGGCACTTGCTCGCTATATCACACAGCTCAGGCATGCCGAGGATCCTAACCCCCTCCATGAGCGAGCACTGGAAATATTGGCCCGCGACATCCATTTCCCGTTTCGAACGCTTCCTGTTTTCCACAAGATCAAGTGGGTCTCCGTCGATGCTCGTGGTCATGGCGACGCAACCGTCACGTTAGATTCAGTTCACGCAAGACCACAACGGAGATCGGGTTCTGGTCTGCTGCCCCGTCGTTCAGACACAGTGCTGGTGAACCTTGGTGCGAATACAGAAGCCGTTAGCGCAGGTATAGAAGGTAAGTCAGCAACGAGTATTCACAAGGATATTGGTGACTCACAGTTGACTGGCTCAAGCACTCCGCGTTGGTCAAGTGCGAGTCGTTTTCTCACTACCTTCAAAATCTCTCCCGCTCCTCTTTCCACCAACAGTCCAGGTTCCTAGCCACCTGGCTTATATCGAGTGGTTCTCGCCGTTTGCATTGGCTCCCGATCGACACCACGGCCTTTACAAGGTCTCGCGTTCCTTTCTTGGTGGCGCAAAAGTCGCAAGCATTGTGCCATTGTCGAAGATCGTGCGGAGTGCCCATCTTCTACCGAATTTCGGTGCCGTCGTCCCGCGAGAGTGGTCCAGTGATACAGTTCTAGATGACTGTGACACTTTTTGGTTGAACTCGTATCTAGATAGATTCACTTACTGTATTTTCAAATAAGTCTTGATAATTCCATTGTACATTATCGTCTTCTAGCCATTTTATTCCTAAAACTTGAAATTAGATAGAATTATCAGAATAACATCATTTAGCGCAAATTATTACAATTTTTGCCCAGGAGGCTTTTCCTGATGGACCCACTAGCACTGTCCAACACAGACAATTAAAGAAATGCTCACGAGCCCTGGAATGTTGACCAGCCCGTGGATGCTTCGCCAAGGTGGTGACCGTGGTTCAACTGACATCTGCACAACGTCTGCACGTCTATTATTGAATAACCATCAAACAATAACAGCGTTACTGTTGACACCGAGAGCTTCGGAATATAGTATGGTCACAACCAGGACATAGTTCCTGTCGAAAGGTGCGATTTCTTGATAAATTTGCTAAAAAATGCTTCGGGTTGACCATGGCGGCATATGGATGAGTTGGAATTTGATTTTATAAATGTTTAGTTTGAGTCAAGTATTTAGTGGTGTCAAAGACCGTGGAAATGTGTCACGATGAGAGTTCCGAATCAGAGGCATACTTTTAAAGCCTAAAGGGGGTTCTTACCCTTAGATCTTCGACCATGCTCATCAAAGTAAAGGTAAGGACGCAGGCATATTGCCAGGAAACATTTCGCTAACCTGATGACCTCCGCTAGACACTCACCGGCAAGGAGGTGCTAAATCTAATCCTTGCCATCCGATAGTGACTAGCTAACGAAGGTTCACGCACAGATCGAGTTGGACATAGACCTCGAGGACAAGGTATCTGCAACTAAAGGCACCATTTATGTAACACCTTACGAACACCATCAGAACAGATCACTCGAATAAAGGAGAAGGTCGAAGAGCAGTCCGGTGTGCCACCACAACAACAGAGACTGATCTTCGGAGGGAGACAAATGTGCGTTGTCTTAGCTTCTACATCATCGCGTAAACTCACCGCATCATGTCTGATCAAGGCCGGATGATAAAACCGCTAAGGAGTTTAATATCACCGCTGGATCTGTTCTTCATCTTGTTCTTGCTCTACGTGGCGGCTTTTGATATCGTACCCTTGGAGGTTTCAGAGATGTGCTCTAGCAAAGGAGTTTAATTATGAGGTGTAGGATTCCGCGCATTGTTAGATATCATTTGATTTTTACTTGCTGTCGCATCACTTGTCTTCCATCGCCGGTTCTTTGACGTGACTTACTCTGACATGGTACATATCTTCTTTCTACACGTGCAGCTGATAATTTCTAGGCAGTTCCACGTACTTATCATGGATCAGGTCCTCCGACGATGTCTGCGCCTGGCAGCAGCCACCTGAATGTGATGCTCAATCTCGTTCCCCTATCAATCCAGTCGGGTTCTCCTTGTCCATCCATTCCTCCACTGACAAAATCCTTCTGTTTCCCATCAATCCCGTGAGTCCAATCGTAGCGCGCATCCCCCGATAGGACTAAAACACTGCGTTCTTCCAGATAGAGGTCCCAATGATTCCTATCCAGCGGCCCGGCCTCTCCGAATAGCTCCTCTCGACACTGAACCCGCTCAAAGTTCATCACACACCCACTTCCAAAGCTTACTCCTATGATTCCATCATCAAACCGTCTCAGTAGATCGACATGGGGTGAGATGCCTTCTCCAGGATGATACAGGTTCAGGATCGCCTGTCGTGCGCGCTGTGGCGCATCCTTGGGCGGAAATAACATTTCGTGCACTTTCTCGGGTAGATGACCACGTAACATTTCGGCAAGCCAGTGCAGGAGTGTGATCAAAAACGTTGGTAAGCCGCCTCCCATATTCTGGTTGTGCTCGGATGCTGTGCGTCCAAAGAGCATGATCTGATTTACGTCTCGCCCATCGAAGTAAAGGTTCATGCACTGCTGAACGATGTCGTTTGCCAGTTCGAGAGGCAATCTGATGGGTGGAACGAAAAGCCCAGGTATTGGCGGCGCAGTGCGCATGGCAATCTGAGGCTCATCAAAGAGCGAGTCACCGTCTTCTGAGAATGGGCTAGTTGCACGAGCGTCATGCTCTGCTCCGCTGAATTCATTATGCTCTACTTCACTGAAAGTTGAAAAGCGCACCTGCACCGTTTACTGCGTACATTGCTAACAGATGCCTCAGTGCTCAGCACTCAGTGCTGACGATAGCGAGAAGGGATATGGTATCACACGTGGAAGCTTGCATACAATCTAAATATACACGTAAGCTGTGGACGGTGTGAACGTGTTTCAGATCCAGCAGGACAAAAGCGATGTCAGGGTACGATTCAGTAGCACTTGTCCAACTACTCCTCAAGCAATTCTAAGATATAGATGACTTAACAACCATCGATAAAACCCCTGCCTCAGAATAAGCACGCGCTGAGTCAAATCAGGTTCGAATACGAACCTCCAGTGGGTAAAATGTATTGTTTGTGGTTCACGACCCGCAGCACTGCACTAACGATGCCCCCATGGGCAGTGAACGAGATGACTAGTCGAATGCTCAGTCTACATTCATGAACAGGTGGGGTATGATGCTCACATTGTTCCTGATCATTGTCAAAAATCATGTCCAGTACGCCCCTCATTCGGACATCGATTTCGTCGTGGGTTTCCCTCACTTGGGAGTCCCATAGTTCGTCTTCTTCTACGAGCTCCTCTTCGATGTCGAAATCAGGGAAAGTTTGTTCGATATAAGTGCGCGTTCTACGCCGATCACAGGTATGGACGCCGTATGTTTCTCTAAGGTTCTATAGTGCGAGTGAGTGAACCTAGCGAAAAATTCTTGTATCTTGATACCTCGATAATCATGGTTCTCTGCGATTTCGGTATGATGGAGTCGAATGTTATCTTATTCGTATGGATAGCTCGTGTGAGAGGACTGCAGTAGAGCTTCCCCGGAAGGGGAATATCGAATTTACGTTCTTGTTTCCATGCGTTATGGGCTGCTTTCGCCTGCTCCTGGCCAAGCATCGTCAATTCTGGATCCGCTATTACAAGCTGTGAGGCAGCGCAATTCAGTGAACGGGTGATAACACTGACGTCCCCAGATCAAATTTCCGTCTCCGTTTTTCTTTGACCAGTAGCTTGATGGATGCAATCAAGTCAAGGAACTTCATTGGAGAAAGAGAATGGTAGAGTGCACCTGTTCCATTTCTTCCGATTTGGGAACTAGATGTTAGGATAGGATGGGCACTATGATGTAGATAGGTCGCACCTGTGTGCCGTACTTCGCCTCGGCTACGTTGTCTGCGGGGAAAAGTCCATAAAATTTGTGATCAATTCTTTAAATGTCATCTTCAGCAACATGAGACCCTCACGAAAGCCTTCACCGTGTCTGCCCACGAAAAATACCTTGTACTGCGTGCCGACGGGAGAGGACGTATTAAGCTGATCAATCTCTTGCTTGAATGTCTTCCATCGATCATCGGAAGGGTCTATTAGCCCGAATCGAGCAGGAAGCTAGAGTTCAAATCTTCATTAGTGGTCGATGGAAATACAAAGAGACTTACAGCCTTCGATGCGAAATAACGAGATTATGCATCAGCCACTCAGTGGCAAGCGAAATTATGATGGTCAAACACTACCTTGCCTTGGCCATAACCAGCGCCAACTTCTTGCTCGAAGAATCCTTTGATCACCTGCCATTGGACTCATTCAGTTCTCGACCTCATATGATCTCGAGAGAGATGGATAGTAAAAACTGACTTCATAAGACCGATGGGACATGGTGTACCGGGGCTCTAGGGGAGATATTCGTGGGGAATCACAGGAAATTACTATAACCAGCTAGCTCGTCTCAGAGCTTTTGTATGCTCCGACTCGGACTCAGGGCCAACTAGAAACAATAGTACTAGTTCTAAGCAACTTGGGGGAATATTTGGGTTCCTGTTTCAAGTCAGGTGAAATTCATGATAGCCGATCCATTAAACTGGTTTTTATGTAAATTTAGAGTTCAGTCGCTTTACAGGACAACTTCACAGGAGGAATGACTAGGACTCATGTCAGCGACCCCTACGTGTTCAATTCAATACAAGTGCACATCAATTGATATTAGTGACTTGTCATGAGTATGTATACTAAGTATTACAAGTACAACGATCATAAACAGCTGAAACATACAAATTTACAAGCGCTTCGATCACCTTCGGACGTCGGCTGTCTGAAGAACGAATCAGTACGTAGGTCCAGCGCCGCTTTCTCCAGCGTGAGTCCTTGACATCCGTTGAATGTGGTGGCATAAGCAGGTCGCAAGTGAAATTGTTTTCAATCGACGGTCTAGCTTGACCCCGTTGGATTGAAAGAGAATGTGATGCGAGGCAGGGAATGTATTTCTCCTGTTTGAGGGATCTCAACCTCCACGAGTTTGCGATGCAGAGCGGTGATGCAGACTCGCGCATTTTGCACTAATCTGTTATCGGACATGTTGCGTTGTGTTGCGCATATAGCATCCACTTTGAGATCCAAACGATGGGGAGCCGTTGATTCGGAGTCGACATAGCGAGGTAGTCGGGCGTTTGCTCAGGTGCGTCTGGAGGTGCTTGGTCTACTCCGTGAAAGGAGCACACGGAAGCCATGGTGGTGAAAGAGTAGGAGCTTAGATCCGGGAGAAAAATTAATGCAGGGATGAATTAGGACAGGAACATGCAGTTAGGAGGACAATGAGCGATCAATCGATGAGAAAGTGCTCAGATTGATGTCAAGCGCGCATGGTGCTAGACCAATTTGGAGGACAGGTGGAGTACAGACAGGAGAGTCACGCGAATTGGTTCCGCGGGATCAAACGTTCCGTCCTTACATATTGTAGACAAGGCGACCTGCTCGGATGCCTCATGGCAAATCGGTAAATATCAACCCTAGTTCCAGTCGGCAGGCAAGTCACATTTACAAACATGCCTCCGCGGAACCTTAGTCCCTGAGGCTGTAACCCTGCAAGTTGCTCCATGCATAGCATCATGTGCCAACTCGCTCGGGCACTCGTAGTCTACGTGTATTTGCCCGAGAGAGAAACCACCGTTAGCTTGCTCGTGCACGGCTTTCTTGAAGTCTGGTAGCCGAGGATGAGAGCATTCGATGGCAATCTTTCCAGAGTCTACAGATTCGAGTGGTGCGTTGCCCAAGCAAGCTTTAAACATGGCTAGTTGGACGTGAGCAAGGGTACGCCAGCGGACTTTGATCATAGACTTACGATCGTATCCCCGATTCTCTAACTTCTGCCAGTCGATGCAGGCAAAGAACGGGTGACTGCGAATTGACTCCAAGTCAGGCCTCCTGGCATAGTGTTTGGGAAAGAAAATCTAAATTTGGAGTTAAGCCAACGTCGACAACACAAAGACTTGGAGACATACAGAATAAAGAAGATCCTTAGCGTCCTTGTCTTGGATGAGATATATCTCGTCGTTCGGTCTTATGAAGGCCAGCTGGCTGTAACCCGCGGGTATCTTGTGGCCGTTACGATATTTATGTGTTCCATCATTGAAATGATATATAGAATACCAGTGCTTAAGAGTCGAGTAAGCTTTAGTGCCAGGACGATCTGGAACCACAGATGACTGCTCACCCCGCCGTTTATTAGTAAAAGCTCCAGTAAAATGGTACCATAGGTCCAGGTGTCCGTCTTGAGGTTATATCCCTGGTTTCCCTCGACTCGTTCTGGAGGAAGGTAACCGCTAGTACCCGATGCACCATACATGAGCTCGTTGTGAAATTGCTGACAGGTTAGTTTGCGGTCTAGGACTTCAGCATTGCCAAAATCTGCAATGCATACGTGACCGGACGGAGTTACGAGCACGTTTTCCATCTTTAAGTCCAAATGTACGACGCGCAGCTTATGAAGATGCTGGAGGGCGAGAAGCTTTGGGGGTAGCGAAGCACATTAGATCAAACTTGCATGCAGAATATAGGAGATACTTACAAGCTCAGCAGCAACAAGCCGCAACTGCCAATGCATGAATCCGAATTTTGCTCTAGTGCGAAGAGTCTGGGGGTAGAACCTCTGGGGCACGTTCAGCACCAAGTCAGATGATAATTAGGAAGACCCACCATTACGAAGTAGAAGTTATCCTCGTCCTCGAAGGCATGCAGCAGAGGAGTCAAAAATGGGGATTGCTCTTCGGTGACACGCTTGAATGCCTCATATTCAGCACTGATAGCTGCTGCTGCTGCTTGAGAACCTTCGAGCAGTTGTTGCATGGTCGGTCGTTTGTCTTTGGCGCAGCAAACAAATTGCGCAAGCAACCCAACCTTGTTAATGACCTTGATAGCGACCTCCTCTGTTTGGTCCTTGATAGCGTACCAGACGTAACCGAATGCACCACTGCCGACCTGTGCCGTAGCGACGTACGTATGACCACCTGCCTGAATAGAATAGGCAAGATTCCCATCGTTCGAAATCCTCTGAACGATAACACTGGCCTGTTTTGCCTCAGGTGTCGACGATGACTGAAAATTCGAGGCACTGGGTTCAAGAGTCGAGAACATATTGCCGAGGTTTAGCTCGGTATTGCCTTGCGCAAGTCGTAGTGATGCGTCGTTACCGAGGTTCCGCTTGGTAACATCCTGTAGTAATTCGGAGGGTGATCCCTGCTGCATAAAGTGTACAGATGGTGCACGTAAGTGCCCAGCTTGGACTCCTGGCTTCCTATCTACGGGAAGCTTTAGACCAGGTGGGCATCGCGGTGGCTCATGGGGGGTAGACGATGGTGATCGGTCACATTGAAGTTGTAGAATTAGATGATCGTATTGCTGTGGGTCCAGGCATGACTTATAGGAGGAAGCGTGAGTGGCAGACAATAGCGATTGGCCAAGGGGAGAATGTGTAAACATATAGTCGTATTGTTGTGAGCCCAGGCGTGCTTTCTGAAAAGAAGGTTCGTCGGGGGTAGTAGGGACCATCGACGGTACAATAGCTTCAGTGGTAGGTCCGAAGGAAGGTCCTGAAACGTGAATGAGTGAACTTGCGCCAGCGCATTTTTTGGGTGTCTCAATGTCCTTGCTCTCGATGGTCTGCATGGTCCGGGACAAAACTGGTGTCGCGACGGTAAATTCGGAAAGTGGAGAATGAGTAGGTATCACAACTGGTGGTATGTATTGACTCGGAATATCACTGTCCCGAGCAGTGTCCGTTGTGAAGGCAGGTGGAGAAAGAACGGAATCAGGAATCATATCGACCATCTCCGTCGACTGCGTGGCGGTCGTTTCGATGTTAAATCCAACTGGAGGATTTGATGGAGAAGTCTCGAGAAGCGGTGTAGATTCCTGGGCGGTGTGCACATGTCCTCCACAACTTGTACCAAGAGTAGGCAATACTTGACTTTGTTGGATTGACATATGGGTGCCATCGGCAGTGTGGGACAAAACCACGTGAAATCGGAGATTTACATTGACAGGAAAAATCGCTTGGGTAGCTGGAGACCGTTCGATTAGGGATGAGATATTTGATGCAAGGGCAGGTGTTGCAGCAGTCGCGAGGTCCAATGCAGAGGCAGATCCAGACGTCTTGAATCGTTTGAAGATGCGAGCAAGCAAGTGTCTGAGGGCCATTGATAAGTGCGGGTGGCGTTATGATAATATGTGAGCTATAGTTCTGAAGAAACCGGACGTTAAATAGAGCTCGGACATATTCTGCGCCACTAGGAATACTGGATCACAAATGTGGATGTGGCCAAAGCTTAGGAAGGGACCACAACGCTTTGGCTCATCGCAAAGCGGGCCCATCAGGAAACAATTGCAGCGTCCAACAACGATATCTTGATTGGGACACTGTTCAGCTATGAGCTTTGCCTTCAGCATAAAGCTTTAAAGCTGTATGCAGTGTAGAACCAAAGCGGCGCGTAGTATTATCGACCTGAAGTGAGAAGGAATCCTGGAGAAGTATTGTTAATGCTCCCCTGGCACACGAAATCGAGAAAGTTTTGTCATAGTATTGTGATCCAGATTAAATGCCACCCAAGGAATATCGCGTTTGAGTCTTTCTTTGATACCGCATCAAACAAGTTAAAGTGGACATATATGTCATATAGTCGAAGCTCGTCAGTAAGGTGATTATTTCATGGATGAAGGAATTGGGAGTAACTGGTGCCGGAAATATCCGTGGCGCCTTTGGATGTTGTTCTCACGGGCGTGCAAGGACCTCTACAACACTACAATGTACATAGTTGGTGGACACCAAAACATTTCTCAAGGCAAGGCATTGGCATTTCTACCACAGCACCGAGAGGACGACGTACAAAAGCAATTTGTTGGTCATGCACATGAGCGGCCTGGACGTTGCCAGTCTACGACGTCTGGCGACAACAGAGGGCAACATCATAATTTAGTAGCCGCCTAAGCAATTTGGGGGTTCTACTATTTCAAGTTGGTAAAATTCACACCGGCGAACTATTGAACGTGACTTGACCTTTTCCTCCGATGAAGCCAGGAATCGATATCGACACTTCCCAAGTCGACGGGAATGCTTCCCCGGAAATAAAACATGTATTGCTCAGCATTCTGCAGTCCATGCGACGGTCAATTGGCAAGCCCTCTAGCAGTTTCGAAAACGAGATTGCGTCCCGGTTGCAACTAACAGAGGCATCTATATTGTCAAAGACCGAGGAACCGGAGAAATTTGAAGGTCGTGTCGTTTTCCAGGTGATTGTGGACGAAGGTACCTTTCGTTTCTCATATTCGCTGTACTTATTGACAGGTTCGCAGAATTGCTCAATGTCTCTCAAAACGTCCACGGTGGATGTACGGCCATGATAATTGACATGCATGTTTTTTCTCCTCCTGTTTGCCTAGAACTAATATAGATGCGTAGTTGCTCGACAATGCCCATTTACGTCCTTGGGGCCTCGACAAGCGATCATGGCGAATTTGGCGTATCACAGTCTTTAAACATTGTGTACCATTCACCAGCATTGCTGTACGTTCAAATATGACACTAGTCACTTTCTGTTGAACCATCGTGTCAGGGGAGACAAGCTACGCGTTGTGAGCACATCACTCGCTCTTGGCAGCCGGGCACTCTCAAGTCGTTGTGAAGTGAGATTGATTTCAGTCTCTTGCTTTATCAGCTCATAACTGGCTTCGAAGGTATGGAATGTTACGCGACACCGATTGGTAGCATCAGCCGTGCACATTAAGATGGTTCCATCTGAACCTAAGGTATCTGAATCTGCCAAACTCTAACCTGGGTGCGGTCACAAGTCTAGGTGACATGTTGATTTACACATACCACAATCATTATATGGCTGTTTTGAAAGTAGTCCTCTGGCCTGCTCGTATTCTGCATGGATTCTAGCACTCTGTTCATTGACAAGCTAATGTCGCGTAGCCTTAGTTTCCTCAATGACACTGGTTGGCTAATCGAACGACTCAGGGAAAACCTTCGGGTAACGGGCTGAAATTTCCCGGTCACGTGACTGTTTGAAGACTACGGGCGAGGAGACATGTTTTCTTCGCCGTTTTCGTGGCGGAAAATTCTGGGTATTGTTGTAGAGACGGATGTCTGACGCGTCAGTATTCCGAAATAGATCGGCTCTTTATCTACTGACATGTTACCATTCGATAATAAAGGTTGGACCCCGTAAACTGTCGGAGAAAGGTACGAAGCCTTTTCTCATTTTCTATGTATGATCGTCTTCATTGTTCTACTCATCGAGCTCGCGGTCTTTGTGTACAACATCCTCTGCAGTTAAGCATCTGGCCTCATCGCGAAACATTCCACCGAGACATACTACTGCTAGCACGACGGCGCTGCCATTGGCAGTCTGTGCACATCCCCTGTGAGGTATACATCAACAACTTCTGCAATTTATCACTAATGTCAAACCACCAATTCGAACGTGGTACCGAGTTCCACCATACATACTATCATGTAGCCGCTCCTCAGCCTACATATAGTCTTGCCCCTTGTTCCTCTCCAAGGCAAAGGTTGCCATACTCAATTTACTAGCCGCACAGACGAATTCAAGTTGGTCTCTCAAGTCTACTAGTAGTAAAAGCCTGCATTCGGCTTTCATTCAAAGTGAATTGATATGGTGGTTATTTTAGTCATTTATCCCGAACTGACGTTCTGAGCCAAACCACTGAAGTGAATTCCCCTCGGAGCTGAACAAAGCTAAGTAGTTCGATTCTCCATTTGTTTCTGTTATCTGCAACTGATACCGAAGCTCATAGCCTTACCCTACAACCCTGCTCCATTCCAAACTTTAATAATGACATTCTTCCTACTCTGAAACGGTTCGGCTCCCGGATCTCAAAGTAAACGAGGTATGTGTCGGCAGAACAAGTCAAGACCTCAATCACCACTCACCAAGTATATTTTCCAGTCATTGATAAGAAGTAGCCTATTACTTGTTATCTGACTCTGTCGGACCTTCTTCAGTGCATCCCCGTGATGGTCTACACCTACAATCGCTCGCTTTGTCTCTACTCACTCATTAACACTCCTTCCTTTCTCAATTGAAATCCCGGTCTAGAAAGTCCCCCCTGGTCCACGTTTCCGTCGGATTTCCAAGCTCAGGGAACTTGGCTTTGACAGCATGGCTGGGAGCGATCCTCGACTTGATGGTCGAAACTCGATTGAATGGCCAGCGCTTGATCCCATGGCTGACTGTATCCCATTGGCTGAACTGTATCCTACTGTCGAATTTGATTGTCTGCTGCTGCACTCCTGAAAATCCTGTATACGAAAGCAGTGGCAACAAACCACACTTATACCTTGCTCTCGTCGAACTTTAAGACGCTCGCAGTACTCATCATGACCACCCGTCTTTTACCATTGTGTTGCAAATGAGCCACTGGGATAGAGACTGGGTGCCAGGATATCATAGAACTATAGAATAGAAAATACTTCTCGCACAGGAGATCCCCGCTAGAATGTTTAATGAGAGACGCCTCGTCAAACATGCATTGTTACTTGAGATCAATCTCACCATTGTCACAACACAAATTATAGTTCATGCGACTGACGCCAAATACAGATTGTTAGGATAATCATCGGTCATTGAAAGGAAGATGATATGTGCAGATATATGACGGTATATCTTGGTGCTAAACCAGTGGAATACACTGAATAGATGAGGGTGTCTGCACTTTTGTTGATCAACGCGAGTGCCAAGTCCATGCAAACATGCTTCAAGTTGGTCAAAGATAGGATACCCATATATATATACACGCCGGCTATATCTGACGAACTTGAACTATCATTTTGTGACGGATTGCAGTACGTACTCTATTGTTTACATTATTGTATATAACTTCCCTCGGATGATCTACTTCAGAATTTAGTAACAACCCCTCCTACAGACGCTAACGTTCCCTGCCAGCTTCTTCCCCACCCACCTTCGCTCATCGACACACAACGAGCGAGCGCTATCCGGGGGTCGGGACACGCGCTTAGTCATCCTCCTCATCGCTCAAAAATGGCTAACAATGGTTTAGGGCATGCCACCATCGGTTACCATTCATTTGTTTACTATAACCACTCATTCGGCCAACTGTAATTGTAAATAATGTAAGTGTGCCGGAAGCGCGTACTTGATTTGATAACAGAACTCCTGTAACGGGCGACAGGCTCTCTGATCACCTGTAATTGGGTGCACTTGCCACTCGAATATTCCGAGATTCCGGGCATACATTATGTGTCAACGGACTCTTCACCGTAAGTATGACCGTGGAAGCAACCGGAGGCTTTGTTTTTCCCCAAACAAACTGAAGTATGTCATTCAACACAAGTCAGTCTTCTGTGCATTGAGCTTTTGCCCATTGTGGTACCCTAGTAAGTACTTCACGAGTTTCATACCTTCTGGAACTCCGATGAAGTCGTACCAGATAAGCTAGAATGGATGCTAACCTGCCTCGAGTATGTGGCGGACATTTTATGCAATTGTGATTACAGTTCAGATTGGTAAACAGGGTTCCAGACGAAGCTGGCACCGCAGCTCTCGAGTACATCTAGCAGCTGATATACTAGCATGGGATTCGCAGCGTCAATGCTCAACTTTCAAGTACATTTTAAGTGGGAAACTTCACCCCACAGCCTGTGATTTGGCTATTTCCTCCAGATGACGCCAGAGAATAATATCGACACTTCCCAAATAAAAGGGAATGTTCCTCCGGAGGTAAAACTTGCATTGTTGAACTCTCTGGCGCAGCCGGGCCATATCTCGCATTCGACTGGCAAGCCCTTCAGAGGTTTCAAAGCCGAGTTCGTGTCCCGGATGCAACTAGCAGAGGCATCTGTATCATCGAAAGCAGAGGAGCCGGACAAACTCGAAGGACGTACCGTCTTTGAGGTGATTGTGGACGAAGGTACCCTCGATTTCTGATATGCGCTTTGCTCACTGATATATCATTTGGCGCCCTTAGACATGTTTAATGAGGTTGGAACTATGCACGGCGGTTGTTTGGCCATGCTAATTGAAATGCATGTTTCTTCCACTCAGATTTATCTGGAGCTAATATGCACGCGCAGCTGCTCGCCAATGCCCATTTATATTCTTATGGCTTCGACTGGCGCTTGTGGCACATTCGGCGTACAGCAGTCTTTGAATATTGTGTTCCACTCACCAGCAGTGCCGTACGTTCAGATGGCATATCAATTATTTTTTGCTGAACCGTTAAGTCAGGGGCGACAAGCTACGCATCGTGTGCACGACACTTACCCTTGGTAGCCGTGCACGCTCGGGTCGTTGTGAAGTGAGATTCTGAGCTCTCTCGTTGCCTTATTAATATTAGCTTATGTTTGGCTTCGACAGGTATGGAATGTAACGCGACACCGATTAGTCGCATCAGCTGTATACATCAACATGGTTCCATCTGAATCGTCCAAACTCTGACCTTTTGTGCATGTCAGTCATGTTGATTCCTTACATACACCATAATCACCATCATACACGACTACTTGGAATTTAAAGTCCACTTATTCCATGTACAATAATGTAGTAATCCACATGATGTGATATTCAAGGGGTATCCAGAGAAAATAACCCAAACGTATAAATGAGTGTTATCATGATGTATGTAGCGCAAATGAATGTTTGAAGATCAAGTCCACGATCTCGAATGATAAGCAGCCCAAATGAATTCATCTCTTCCAAGTGTTTATATCGGGGCCCATGAAGGGACCAGCCTGAATTGTCCCTGTGCCAATAGATCTCAATATGTCCATCCTCCTGTCCTCCCATGCCTTGAGTGCTTTGAGAAGCTGTAATATTTTATCGCGTTTCCCTTGTCGGACGTCGTTTATGCTTACGCTGCCCATTTTTACGTCGTTGTCAAGGAGGAAGTCAAACAGGCGGAATAACCCGTCCAGCTTATCATCGCCGGGGCCAGACGGGAATGCCGAGTCTAGCACGGGGGGTGAGGGTGATTTCCCTAAAACTGATTCCGAGAGACGAAGAAGGGCAAGACCGCTGAAAAGATGAGTAGTGGGATCGTAATTTTGCAACGCAGCTGGTAGGTGTGAATTAGCCCATTCAACTAGACCCGCGTCAGAAGAGTTCAGCTGTACAAGGTTCATAAGGTCAGTATCACAACGCACGGAGAAGGCAGTGGACAAACCGCGGTAGTTGGTGAAGGGCGTGCCTCTCTAGTCGGGCGGGGAGGAGCTTGGTTTGCTATAGATGATGGTTTGGATTGGTCTTCAGACTGCTCTGAAATAGATTGCTGAATCAAGAAGGAATCAAGACGCGTTCGTTCGCTATCTTGTGCGTCCGACGATGGTAAACCCATCAGGACGCGAGCATCACGAGAAGATAGCTGATTTGGATTCTCACGGCGCAATGCCTTTTGTGTCGCATCGCGAGCAGTAGGAGACGGCGGTCGGGGGGCGGGGTTCATCGCTTGGGCGACTGTTAGAGGGATAGTGGGAATGTTGACAGAAGAAACAACAGGCTCTGTTTAATATAATGTTAGATAAGCGACCAAAGATGATGGCTCAGACCTACTCGAGTAGTCTCTGCCAATGGTGGCCTTCATGATCGCTTTCATCCACTCGCGTACCACGATTTGCTCATCAGAACTGAAGTAATGCGTCTTGTCAGTGTCGTGCACTATCCTGAAGCCATAACGTCCTGGATCGACGTTCTCGTCCGCAATAACCTTGTATCCGACGATATTGATGTAGCCCTTGATTTTCACCTCCTGAACAACGTGCATCAGTGTATAACTTCATGATTAAGTAAAGTTCACTCCCACCGTCTTACTGTCGCTCCGCAGGATGTACAGATGCGGGCCCTTGATAACGAAGTACCGCACCTTCCAGGCATTATAATGGTCGCCTTTCTTGCGCATCCATCCTTGGTGATCAGGGATGCCGATCTGGTCAATGATACTCTTTCCTGGCTTGAAGATACTAGGACCTCGA